GTGAGTTATATCACCTTACACCAGTCAGAATGGCTATTATAAAAAAGACAAGAAATAACAAGTGTTGGCAAAAAGCGCACACTTATAAACTGTTAATGATAATGTACAATGGTGCAGCCACTATGAAAAAACAGTATGGAGGTTTCTGAAAATTTTAAAATATAATTACCATATTATCCAGCAATTCTACTTCTGGGTATTTATCTGAAGAAAATGAAAACACTAACTTGAAAGCCAATATGCACCCCTATGTTCACTACAGCATTATTTACAATAGCCAAGAAATGAAAGCAATCAGAGAGTCCACTGATAGATGAACAGATAAAGATATTGTATATATACAATGGAATATTACTCAACCTAAAAAAATGAAATCCTGCCATTAGCAACAATATGGGGGGACCTAGAGGGAATTATGCTAAGTAAAATAAGTCAAAGACAAATACCATAAGATCTCACTTACATGTGGAATCTAAAAAAAATTAAACAAATGAACGAATAAAACAGAAACAGACCCATAAATACAGAGCACATGATGGTTGCCAGAGAGGAGGTAGGTGATGGGATGGATGAAATAAGGGAAGGGGATTAAAAGGTACAAGCTTCCAGCTATAAAATAAGACACAGGGATACAATGTACACCATAGGGAATATGGTTAATAATATGTAATAATTTTGTATAGTGACAGAGAGTCTCATACTTTTAATCAAATACTCTGGCACAGAAGTAATTAATACATATCACTTCTACCTAAAATCCATTGGCCAGAACTTATCACATCACCTCACCAAGATGGAAGGGGAAGTATAACCTTCTCATGTGCCTGGAAGGAGAGAAGAATTGGATATAGGTTGATCATAAAAGTCTCTATCACACTCTAATAGATAAATAGCTGAATTATGGTATATACATGAAATATTACACAGCCATTTAAAAGAATGAATTGTAAGTATACCATGTTGCAGAGAGATTTCCATGAGATACTGAGTAAAGCAAGACTGGAAAGTATATATATCACCTCATTTTTGTAAATTAATCATGACCAGAGAACCCTGTTGTGTACGCATGCATGTGTGAAAATATAACTATAATTACATTATATCTACACATCTATCTGTCATGGAGAAGAATAGGGAAGGAGACATCCTAAATTCTTGTCAAGGATTAACTAGGAGGTGGGGTTTGGTGAACGACAACCCTGATATGTATGGAGAGGAGAAGAAAGAGGGTGAGGGAAAAAGCAAAAGGGAAATATCAAGGACACTAAGATTTTATATGATTATATTTATGTATTGATTAAATTATATATGCATATAGAAATTAAGTCATTTTTTAAACTATATTTTCCTTTTAATTTTTTATAGGCCTCAAATTAGAGCTGTTGAAATTAAATAATCCTTTCAGTTCCCTTCAGGTCTAAACTCTGATTCCATAACTTAAGTAATGTTGTCTTATCTGTCACCTGTTTGTCATTTCCTATTTCTAACCCATAGTTGACCTGCCACTGATTAAAGTTCTTGATGTACTACTACAGCCTGTGGATTATTAATTATACTGATTCAGGTTGCTTAAAAATGATAAATAATTTATTTCTAACCTTTATATCAACCAAAGCAACTTGCTCTTTGACATCACTAATTTACATTTACATGAAGTAGGAGACAATTTTTACTGCTAGAGTGATAAAGTTACAGATATTTTTCTTAAGACAGGTATTAAATCTAATTTAAAAGGCTGAAACCTAAACTTTCAGTCCAAAATTTTCCCTCTCTCACCTGGATTTCAGTAGCTATAATTGCTTCAACTCAGTTCAATTTAACCTTTTATGTTCTTTATAAAACAAGTCTTTTTAAACTGGAAGCCTTGATAATAAAGTTGGGAAATTTTATACTTTACATCCTTTTATAAAATTTTAATTTTAAACACCATATTTTAAATAATAAAGTCTTGTTTTCCTTCCTTAAACTTTATTCTATTTTCCATGCTAAAAAAGTCCAAGCTTCGCAACATAACAACATAATACCCTATATGAAGAGACCATGCATGGTCTGCCTCCTAACTACTCTTTACTTCATCTCTTACCTTGCTACTTTTTCTGCGATTTTTTCTTTTTCTTATCTGCCTGTAGCATTCCTGTTTATGTCCAAAACCTGTATCTTCCAGGCCTTCCCTGAAGCCAAGACATTATAAATTATTTATTTTTTTACACATTTATACTTACTACTTGTACTGCAAGTCATTGAGAACAGATTGTGTGTCATACAGATAACCCCAAATCCAATGATTTATTTTATGCTTTCAGGTATTGCTGCTCAGGATGTGACACAGAACACTCCCTTCTTGAATCATTTTTGTTTCTCTTGGCTTCTGTGATCCCTTCTAGTTGATCTGTCTCTCTTTTTAGTCTTTGCGGCAACTCCTCTATTTCAAATAAGTTCCAGTGTCCCAAAGCTCAGTACTAACTCCTTTCTCTTCTTTAACTACACACTCACTATGTGTAAAGAGTATGCATTCAGTCCTGTGCTTTAAATGGCTTCAAAGAGTGACTAACAAGCAGGGAAAGTTTCCTACCAATCTAAAAATGGGTTGTGACAAATAGCTTCTTCCTATAATAACCTTTAAACTACACTCAACTTTTAAACAGACATTAATAATTGGGTAATTCACTTACAAAATTTTCACAATGATCAAATTATAAATTTTCCAATTGTTCATTAGTACTAAATTATTTTTTATGAGTTTGTTTTTTGGTTTCCATTTTTTATTGGCTAACCTTTTCTACAAATATAATTCCCCAACATACGGGAATTAGAGTTCTACCACACCAAAACTGTTATTTATAAACAACTCTAGAACTGTTTTTATCCATTTTCAGTTGTTTTTATAAAGCCTTTTCACTTCCCTACTTCATGAAGTCTTTCATACCTACTCTTCTCTCCACAACCTCCAACACTTACTCGATCCTCATTCTCAATGAGTGATCTTAATTCTTCACTAGGAAAATTTAAGCTATGAGACCAAAACTTCTATAAACTCCCATCCACGTGCCATCATCTTGTGGCATATACTCTTCTTCTTCTCCTGTTACTGTGGTAGAACTCTCTATTCTCCTAGCTAAGACCCGGCACTTTAATTTCCCACTAGATTCCTGCCTGTTATAGTACATTCTACAAAAAAACTTCCCTTTGTCTCTTCCATAATTATCTTCCCCCTATCCTGAATCTTTTCCTATTTAAACATGCCATTAATTCTTTTAAAAAATAATATTCTCACCTGATGGCCCCCCTGCGACTAAGAACTTATTCACTATGTAAGAACTTGTTCGTTATGCTTCAGAAGATTGGAGACTGTTGAGAATTAGGCTTGGGGTTGATTAATGATTGTGCATTGAGTCCCCTATACAGAATTTTATTGTTGTTAACAACCATTTGATCAATAAATATGAGAGATGCCCTCTCAAAAAAAAATAATAATGTTCTCTTGGCCCTCCTCCAGTTCTAGTAACTGACTCACTTATCTTCTCTTTAAAGTATAGCTTATTGAGTTTTTTACTCTTGATGGGGATAGCTATCTCCACCTTCTCTCCTCCCATTCTCTCCTTAACCACCCCCTCCAATCAAATCCTCGTCAATGAAACTGCCATTGTTAAGATCAACGATGTCCACGTTAAAAACACATTTATCAATTTTGCTTCACCTCTAAGCATAACACAATTTATCACTCCCTTTTCTTTAAAATGCTTTCTTGCTTGACTTCACTATCACTCTAGCTAATCCTTTTGATGGTTCCTTCTTATCTCTCTGATCTCTTCTCTTTTCTAGGTTTAGTCACTCCCATGATTGTACATGTTCTTACCCAGTCTGACAGCTTTAAATGCGCTGTTGACTCCCTTATTTATTTCACTACCCTGGACCTGTCTCTAAGCCAACTTACCATCTCTATTTGGATTCTAATAGGAATTTCAAACCTATAACATGTCTGAAACTACATTGCTCAGCCAAAAAATGGAAGTTAGAATTTCTTTCTTATCACATCCCACATCTAATCTTCGAACTAGATTCAGAATTTGATCACTTTATTCCTTTGCTGCTCTCACTTTTGTTTAAGCTACTAGCATATCTCATGTTATTAAAATAATGTCCTGTTTTTTCTATTTTAATCTTTCAATATCTGTTCTCAATATAGCAGCCAGAAAGATTCTTATGTTAAAACATGAGTCAGATTATGGCTCTTCCTTGCTCAAAAAAACTGCTAATTTCACATCTTTACACAGCAAAAAAGCCAAAGTTTTTACAGTGGCCTACAAATGCTACACAATGTGCCCACTCAAAGCCTGTTAAATATCAAAACTTTTCTACTTCTACTCTCCCATTTGCTCACTACCCTCCAGTCACACTGGTCACCTCGCTGCTTCCCAAATACACTAGGCACATCCCAACCTCTGGGCTTTAGTACTTCATGCTCCTTTTGCCAGGAATGTTCTCCCCGATAGCCACAGGCTTATTTGCCAGATCTTCAAATGTCATTTATTGAGGGCCACCCTACATGAAACTTCAACCCCCTTCATATTGTCTATGCTCTTCCCTGTTTTATTTTTCCCTAGCAATTATCATTAACTAATATACTATGTTTTGCTTATTTTGTTTATTGTCTTTTTCCCTCACTGTCTTTTAGCAAAGTCTAAAAGAACAGAGGATTTATTTTTCTGTTTTGTTCATTGTTATATTCCCCAGTATCTCAAACTGTGCTTGACTCTGAGTAGACATTTAATATTTGCTTAATTCAATGAAGCATTTTTAGGAAGTTATACTGGTATAGCCTTTTATCCTGCAACTAAAAGCCATTTGTCAACTTTATAAACAGATAAATCAAAGATGCCTCCAAACTGTGGAATTTAACTAAAATGACCTCCAGATTTTGAAATGAATATTAGCAAAATTATCATGGTCAGCTGTTCAGATGACCTCACAGAATCAATCAGAGGCATTTTATTTGCATCCAAAATATTTTAATAGTATAAATAAAGAGTACATCTCAATAATGTATTCTTAGTATTCAGTCGATAACTTTACAAATTTGAAAACTTAGCCAAACACTTTTCAGGAATCCAAGAAGTTAAAACAAAATATAATCCTCTAATTAAATGAATACAATTACAAGTTTTCAGGCAAAATGTGGTTATTTCAGTTAGACCAAAATATAAAAGAAATAAATTATTTATGCAAATACCAAAAAAAGTCTCAATTACAGAAAAAGTTTGGCTCTTCCAAAAATAACAACTATAAATTTGATGTTATTAGACTCCTTAATCACACTCATTTTCTGAAATTAAAGAAATAGCTTTTCTGCTTCCTTTAGTTTTTTTTTCCTATCCTTTTTAGCAACTAGAGCCCAATGGTCCTCCCGCATTTTCCTCACAGCTCCAGACTTCAGAGAAGATCCAGGGGTTGTTAGAGATGAAGGGGTCTGAATACAAAATAAAATAAAATAAAATAAAATAATAGAATGTTTAATTAAAAGAATAATTAAGTCCAGCTTTTGAAATTTGCTTTCTGAAATAAAACTGAAAGCTACCTTTTTTGGTGTCCTGACACAAAGATGAGCAGTTGATGGATTATTCTTCTTATATAGCTTTGTCAATGTCTCTTCCTCTGAAACCATGCTCTTAAAAGAAAAATATAAAAATATAATTTGGGGGTTGCCATCACTAATACTATATTAAAGGTTTTTCTACATATCACATACGAAGAGGAAAAATAAGAAGGAAGAAAGGAGGAGATAGGAGAAAGAAAGACTGAAGAAAGAAGACAGTGAAAAAAATAAATCCTCAATCTGCCAAATCCTTAATCTGCAAAACAAGAACCTAAATTGATTCTATTAACTATTTTACTGAGAGACTGTGTGAAATATGTGTATGAATGGTGTTTTTCCTCTGATTTCTCTTTTAGTTTCAGAGTCTTTACACTACCACTTTCCTCTTTCTTTCCCCCAACACTACTTACTCAAATTTACACTTAGGCTTTATAAATAAGCATTTATAATCCCATAAAAATTATAATGTTGTCAATGATCAATTTATGAGTATTACGATTCTCCCAAATAATAATAGCTAACAGCTAGTACTTCATGTCAAGCACTGTTTTAAACATTTCACACATGTTCATTAGTTTTAATCCTCACAATTTTATGAAGTAGGTATATTATTATCCTCATTTTAAATGGTAAAGAACGGAGACACACAAATGTTAAGTAACTTGCCTAAAATTATACAGCTAGTTAGGAGGTGGAGCCAGGATTCAAATCCAGGTGGGCTGGCTCCTACCATTCTCTCAATGAATATGCTACACAAATTTAGTCATGTGAGTAGTCAGTTCACATTACTTTTCTGTTCATTAATGTCACATTTAAAAAAACTTCAGAGGCCTCATGGATGAAAATAAGCAAACAGATTTTCATGAATTCTAAGATTTCAGAATCATAAAGAGCTGCATTTTCAGATACATTCAGAGCCAGTATGCACCAACTGGCCATCTTAGAAAAGATACATTATTTTAAACATCATATTGTAAGCTATCATTAAAATATTACTTAGTGCACAGTAACTGATTATTCATTAATGACTGCCCATGTGAAAAAACTAATAAATGAACCACATTTAAAACCTTCTCTCTCCTGATGACTCTGTAGCATTCATCTTTTCATGTGCTTACTGGTCTTTTATACACCTTCTTTGGGAAAATAAATGTCTATTCAAGTCCTTTACCTATTTTTGAATTGGGTTGTTTTTGTCATTGAGTTATGGAAGTTCTTATGTATTATGGTTATTAATCCCTTGTCACATATACAATCTGCAAATATTTTCTCCCATTCTTTAGTTTTTCTTTTTATTTTATTTAAAGTGTCCTGTGATGCACAAAGTTCTTAGTTCTGAAGAAGTCCAACTTATCTGTATTTTCTTTTCTTGCCTGTGCTTCTGGTGTCATATCCAAGAGTTCTTGCCAAATTCAATATTCATGATTTCCTTGATATGTTCATCTAAGAGTTGCATAATTTTAGCCCTTAAGATTATATCTTTGATCTTTTTTTTTTTT